CATTTTTTTGCTATTAGTGAAACAGATATTTGCATTCATATTTTCATGAAAAGCAACAAACAAGTTCTTTCTGGGACCTAATAAAGGAAGATAGTTTTTAGTAAATGAGGTTTTATTATGTTTTGTTACCGAGATACCCTTAGGAAAATGTGGACACTGATAGCTCTGAATCAGAAAATGATTCAATTGAGTCGTACTATGAATGTGAAGAGTTTTTTTTAGGAATAGCTTAATTCATTTTGCTCTATTTTCCTTTTAATGTATATACCAAAGAGTGATAAGTACTTTTTAAAATTTGTCAACCTACATGATAAGAAAGTAATAAATTAGTTTACTTGGTAGTTTTTGCCTTCTTGGTAGTACATAAAATCAAGAATAAATGCCTGGCCAGAGTGGCTCAGTTTGTTGACCATTGTCTCATGCACTGAGAGGTTGCCAGTTCCATTCCTGGTCAGGGCACAATCCTGGGTTGTGGGTTTGATTCCCCAATCAGGGAGCACATAGAAGGCAACCAACTAATGTTTCTCTCTCATCAGTGTTTCTCTCCTCTCCCTTTGAGAGGGCAGGGCGGGGCCGGGCCAGCTCCCGACTCCATTTTGTAACTGGACCTTAGCCCTAACCCAACCAATCAGGTCAGCCAAGGTAGTGGCACCCCCCCCACCCCATAAAACCTATTGATACGTTAAATTCTTTCTCTCTCCCCCGCCATGCCATCCCAGGTGTAACTGGGACTGAGCTCGGACTAGTCCGAAATAAATACAGGCTTTCTGCAATTGCATCGGATTCGGCTCCCTGGTAGTCTTTGGGGTTTATGACACTTGGGCACAACACTTTCCCCTTCCTTCCTCTAAGCATCTCTTCAGGTGAGGATTTTTTTTTTTTTTTTTTTTTTTTTTTAAGAGTAAATGTTGCCCTCTGAAGAAAGTGATTAGCAATCCTACTGAACTCAGTAAGTAGACAGGTGACAGGGGAGTGTGCTGGGAGTGAGAAACTCATGTATAGAGATGATTCATCATGGAGTCTCAACCATCCTCACCAAGGTTTGCCATATATCCATCAGAACCGGGCAGGAAGAGAAAACCATTCTTTTGGCAATAAGAGAATGGGTCCAGAGGTACCAGCCATGCCAAAGGCTCAGAGAGAACCCATTTGGACATAATATAATGACAGTTACTTACTGAGCCTACCATGTGCTGCTCCTATGGTAGGCACTTTATTGATTCTCTCTAATCCCTGCAACAGCCCTGAAGATTTCCACGGGGGTAGGTACTGCTGTTTTAGAAAACACACTGCCAAAATATAACAAAAGATGTAACCAACAGTCCTACCCTTTGACTTAGTAATTCCATGTTTGGGGATTTGTACACATGAAGTTGTTTGTTTTAATTGAATGTAACTTATAATGAAAAGACGGAAGGGACTTAATTGAATAATTGTAGGAATAGGGTTCAAAAAATTATGTACATCTATACTTTGTGGAATATTACAGTTTTAAAAATAATAATCACAAGTATTGTATAAAATATGGGAAATGTTAAGGTAGCCAAGGAGAAAGCAATAAAATATATGCACTCTATAATTTCAAAGATATAAAAATGTTTGTTAACATGGGCCAATATTGAGGGAGAATAATACAAAAATAAAGGTAGTTGTGTTAAGATGACATGATAATGAGTGAGTGACTTTTTTTTCCAAGAAAAATTTCTCTCTGCAAAAAAAAGCCATAGGAAACAAGCTTCAAAGAAAATGAGTCAGTAGCAGCAATGACTACTGAGGTATATTGAGAATAGAAATTGTTTCAGAGCATACCTAGAATTACCCGGTTACCAAACCTAAATTCCTATTTACTACTTTGAGATGTTGAGATTCTGGTTTCCTTCCTTCCTTCCTTCCTTCCTTCCTTCCTTCCTTCCTTCCTTCCTTCCTTCCTTCCTTCCTTCCCTCCCTCCCTCCCTCCCTTACAGTCCCTCCTCCTCCTCCTTCTCCTCCCTCCTCCGCCCCCACTCTTCCCCTCCTTCCCCCTCCACCTACCTCGCACCGCACTACTCCCGCCTCCCAACCACCACCGCCCCTGACTTCATCCTCCCCCCTCCCTCCTTCCTTCCTTCCTCCTTCCTCCTCCCTCCCCTCCCTCCCTTCCTTCCTCTCCTCCTTCTCCTTCCTTCCTTCCTTCCTTCCTTCCTTCCTTCCTTCCTTCCTTCCTTCCTTCCTTCCTTCCTCCTTCTTCCCATTTGGAATTTGTAATTAGTATATCTGCAGAGCAACAATGCAGTAGATTCAGGAAAGTGTTTGAGGCTTTGTAAGCAAATGACAACAATGTAAAAGGTATTGTCTAAATTTGCATTCCTATAAAACATGGAGCTGCTGTGATTTCAGAATAAATGTGTTTTAAATATTTTCTAAATACAGAACTGTTGCAGCCCTAACAATACTTGGCTAAGAAACTACATTTCTACGATAGGCCATTGTTACTCCTTGGAAAATATTTGGGCTTTAAAAAAGGCCCATTTACCAATACTGAGGAATGTGCCCACTTTGTCCCTTCTTGCATCTGTAGTTTTTTCTGTAAGACTCTTCTTCCTCTCTTTTGGGATATCATTGATTTTTATTGCAGGACAAAAGGGCATGGCATTAAAACCGACATATTTAAAACTCTAGAAAATAATTATTTTTCAGATAAGAGCCTGTGTTTGTGTTGAATTATACAGTCTTTTGCTGTACGTATTTATTTCCACCTCTTTCTCACAATTTTTGGAATGTTTTTTTCTGTGCACTAATTCATTGATTGGAATTCCAGTTTAGAAATGCTAATTAAAACTCGGGGTCATTGGTCAATTGCATTATCAAATGTAGGAGCTAGGAAAGTTGATAAGATTTGATTAAACATGGATTTTTTTTTCTCTCCTTCTGTGTGTTAGGTTCTGCTCTGGACACATTAACAAGTGGCCATTTTTCTGGAATTCTGCACTCTTCCTGCTTCCTTTCATTATATTAGGCAAGGTTCCACTAGATGAGACATTTGTAGTCCTAAGACTTCCTGCCAGGGTTCAGACTTTGTATTTTTGACATTGAAGCTGTCGTTTTCCTGAAGCTATTTAATTAGAAACACATTCATTTCAGTGTACACTGGAAAAAAACTTGGACAGCAGAGCCAGGCACACTGGGAAGTTTGAGCATTTGTGTAGCTGACAGCTAAACTAATGGTTTACAGTTTAAGGGGGAAAATATCGCAGGGCATTTCCTTGCCCCTGGAAGCGAGGAGAAGCTGAATGTGCACAGCAGATACCTATTTTTAAAAGAGAGAAGAGGAAGAAAGAAAAAAGACAACCCCACTTTTATTGCAGTTGTGTATATAATTCTTTCTTCAGCTATTGTCAAATACAAAAGTCTTCTAGGAGAATAGTTCCCAAACTATGCTTCTAATATTCAAGTCTGTTTTACAGGCTCCCAATATACATTACTGCTGAGATCATAGTAAGGAGGACATTTTATATTCTGGGGAACGATTTTTGCTTGAAGAATTTTATTTGTCAAATGGTAATAAGGGGATTGTGCCCTTTCTTATTTTTAAATGTTTGAGCAATTTTAAAATGCACAACTGATGTTTTAGAACTTTCATTGCCTATCCATTGCTTCAGGATGAAAGCCTGAACTCCTTAGTATTAAATTGGAAGCAAACCTCTCCTTTCTTGTTTCTTACCACTCCTTGTTTCCCCAACCCTGTCTCCAAGAAAGCCAGCCTGCAGGTCCGCTCCCACTCTCCCAGCTGCCCCAGAGGAAAGGTACCTGGTCACCTCAGTCTGAGCCAGATATCTTATCTCTAGGCTCATAAAATACCCTTTGCACCTTTCAAGGATGTATCACGTATATATGAATCACACTGGAGAGACATATAGAAAAATTGCCAGTTCCTTCTCCTCTCCCTACTTCTTGACCTCCATCCTCTACCCCCAAGAAAAAGGTCGTGTGGGAGGTGGGCCTGGTTAATTTAGGTTTGGTATTACAAAGTCTGTATGGCACAGAGGAAGAGTCTTTGAAGTCAAATTCTAGGTTTTCCATTTACTTTGTTCTGTGGCATTAGATAAGTGATTTAAACTCTCTGGACCTGTCTCCTCATTTGTAAAATGGAGATAATACCTACCTTGTATGGTTATTGTTGGATTAGGAAGATAAATTTGAGCTTCCTTATATAATGTTCAGAACATTTGTCATTGGTAAGTAATATCATAAGTGATAATGGCAGAGGAGGGGGTTAGAGAATAAGGGGAGAGGAAGTACACAGAATCCTGAAAACATAGGAAGTCAATGATGCCCAGGCTTTCAAACTTTTGGAGTTGGGTTCTGGTCTCCTGCTCAGTTTCCAATTTAGGGCCCATCACCCTGTGAATGAAGTCATTGGAAGGGGCTTTGTGAATTGTAGGGTCATCCAATGGTCTGTGTGCAGATGGGGAGGAGGTGCTTACTGGTTGCTTTCTATGTGCCTTTTCAAATCAGAGCGGACAGTTAGATCACATCTCTTGATGACAGAAGGAAATAGCAAATAAAAGCATCATTCTATATTCAACCTTGTTAACTGCTTTTTCTATTATATTGATAATTGTGGCAATAATAGTTCCCATTTGTACCAGGAACTGTACTAATCACTCGATGTATATTTTCTCTCATTCTGATTGCAACCTCTACCAGTTTGCTTCTAAGGTCCCACTTTAAAGATGAGGAACTGAGACCAGGCAGTTGCCTAGCTGTTATTTTAGGGACTAATGCCAGAGTGGGTTCTTCCTGCCACCCGAGAGGCTTCCAGTGCTGCCTGCGTTTAGAAATTCTTCTGAAGTTTCTAGGCTTGGGAACAAAATGTCACATTAGGATTTTTGTTGTGAAAGGAAATGTAACTGTGCATACGTTTATTAAAACAGTTTTTCTCCAAATAGTGAACCATCTGTAATTTTCTGTCGGAAGCAACAGACATTAAAGCAGCTGTGTGTCTCTGTTTCTCTTCACAGTGCTCCCATGCCCTACCTCATAGGAATCCATTTAAGTTTAATGGAGGTAAGTTGGCGCCTTTCCTCCCTACATCTCCCTGCTTGGCTGTTTTGTTTTGAAAAGACACAGTGTGTGGATTCACAGCTCTCCACGTGGGAGCGTGTGGAAGCAGCGCTTGGTGCGCAGTGCCCTCTCAGGGGCACAGAGCTGAGTGGTCCATTTAGACCCTTTCCCTGGGCCCCTGTTCCCAGTGTTTGTCCTCTCTGCATGGAGATTGTCAGTTCTCACGGGTGAAGGAGCGAAATTCCAGAAGGCAGGAGGAAAAGGTCCTCGAGCATTTAAACAAGGGAAGGGAAATGATTTGCCTTTCAAAATGATGTTTATTCAAAACTATTACAATCATGTTACATTTTTTATTGTAGAAAATGTGGTGTAAAAATATATAGAAGTATAAAGAGGAAAATAAAAATTATCCACAATGCCATTATTATAAATTCAACCAGTTAGCATTTTACTGCTCTTCCTCCTGGTCTTTATTTTATGAATATATATTTTGTATAAATGTACTTAATTGAAATGTGTTTTATATATAATTTTGTTATTAAATGTCACTTAATATTATGGCATGGAGATTTCAACATGTTTTTATTTATTCTCAATTAGAATAATTTTCAGTTTGCTACCTTACATTCCACTGCTTGGATATATCATAACTTAAACATTTTTCTGTTACTCTAGAGTAGACATTTAGGTTGTTTATATTTTTTCACTAATATAAGTAGCATTTCAGTGAACATCTTTATGCATAAGGTTTTATCTGCATTTTGACTTAGTTTCTTAGCATAGAACCCGTAATGTAGAAATGCTTGGTCAAAGCTATGACTGATGACAGATTGCTTTCTGCATGGCTGTACCAATTAGATAGCAGTTCTTTTAAAGGACTTATCTGGGCTTTTGTGAGTGCCATTGATTTGTAGATATGAACCCCAAGCTTTTCCCTCCTCGGGAGAGAGCTTAAATTTGTACTAGAGCAAAATGGGGAGGGAGGTGGGGGGGCTTGCCTGTTTTGCACAGGAGCTAAGCTCTCAGCGGGAAAATCTAAAGCCATATCCGTCTGTGATGATGCTTTGCATGTCTTAAAGGAAGTGCTACTTCTCTTCTTCTGTTCCCTTCATTTCACGTCGACGAGGACCACCTGCTTCTTCGCTAACTGTTGCACACTGTGCTATTGTGCTTACGAAAATGAAACAAGTTGGTTATCGAAAAACCTGTTTGTTTGACATTGAGAATCTTGATCAAAATAGACCACAGAAATCTGCTCAAATTTCTAATTTGACAGGACGGCCATGTGGCTCCTACATTCTGTTAACAGTTCCTCCTTGTCATCACCCAGCCCTGAGCACATACAGTACACAGTTTATGGACTATCTTGGGTGGTGTATTTAGATCAGATTGAAGAGGTTTTTTGGGTGTTTTACCTTTGTCAAATTTGGGGATGTATTTAAAGCTCCTGTGTGAAAATTTTAAATTGAACACCTTCTAATAGGCCGTTAGTGCCAATTGTTAGAGTTTGAAACACTAAACACCATTTGGTCTATTGAGTGCACAGCTCCTTTCTGCCTCTCCTCCTGCCCAGCAGACTGTGCTAGCAAGGCTGTATCACATGCCTCTCATCCCCGTTAACATCAGCATTGTCCAAGTTTCTAGTTTCTGCCTGCTTTTCTTCTAGGCATGCCCTAGTCATCTTGTTTAGGGCTTTCTGTTTCAGTGATCAAGATAATGCCACTCACTCTCAGCCGTGATTCTAACTATTGTAGCATGGCTCTCTCTGAACACAGGTCCAAGCGTTTCAGGTGCCGATTGAACTTCACATAGGTTTGCTACAGATGTCTCAAACTCAGTGTTACACACAAACACACACACACACACACACACACACACACACACACCCCAAACTACATCACTCCCTTCCAGTGTTCCTAGTCCCTGTGAATGGTACCCAAGTGGGATACACTGAGCATGGCTGAGCGCTCCTCTTCCTTGTTCTTTCTAAATTGGTACCAACTCTCTGACATGTCTCTTGCCGTGTTCCTTCCTTACTGCCTTCATTGACTATTTATTTCTTTTCTTGGATTATTGCAAAGCCCTATTCATTCATCTGCTTAGCAAAATGAAAGCCTCTTAGGTTTCAGACGTTTTTCTCGGTCCTGGAGGTATAAAGGAAAATGTAAAATCCAGTTCATAGTCCCGGCATTTAGTGGGTTGACTTCTACTGCCTCACTCTACCTTTAGTGGTCCCAGTCTTGCTCTGCACCACCCCTGAGTCTGCTCAGTCTCTTTGCTGCTGCCAACCTTGCTGTCCTCTCAGTGTCCCTTATTAGCCTGTGTGCCCACTGATCCTAGCCATCCCCGAGTTCCCATAACTCTGCATGGCTAAGCCCTGACCTTCGCCAGCTCTTTCAATAAATCCTCCCATTTTGTCATCGTCTTTCACTTACTGTCCCTCTTGTTCTGGGTGGTAACTGTTTGCTTCCCCATCCTCTTCACCATCCCTTGGAGCATGAGTTGGGAACAAGGACTTTGTTTTGTTTATTGTGGTATCCTCAGCACCTGTCAGGGCACCAGGCAGGTGCTTTCAGAAAAGAAGGATGAGTGGGTACTGGTAAGCTGAATTCGGAGTACAATTAGAGCTCCCCAACAGGCATCAAAGTTTTCGGAGAACCCAGCAAAGATAAACAGAGTACATTATATTACTTTCGTATGATTGTAAGTAACTTAAAACAAGGCCTTTTGTTAGTAAAGCATGAGGTGCAAAATATGAATAATTTTTTAAACTTGCACTTGGGATGGAGTTTTGCACCTAGGTGAGTGGGTGTGAGTCGACTCTGCTCAGCCTTTGAGAGGCTTTAAGTGAGAAGATTGGGGAAGCACTGGCCAAGAAAAATCTTAGTCCTGTCAATTAGCTAGAGTAGGGAAGAATTTGCCTTGCTGAACTCCTGCATGGTCAGCTCTAAAATAAAAAGAAAAGAAAAAGGAAAAGAAAAATAGTAGTATCCTACACTTGAAGGCAGCTAAGACACTTTCTGAAAAAAGTAGCATTTCCTGGGTGTGCTGGGCAACCATGAACTTCCAGTCTTGGAATTCAATCTTCTCATCGCCTCCTGTGGATTTAACTCAGACTTGGGGCACTCTAGTCGTGCTTTTTGGTTGGGTTTATGTGGTTCTTCTATACCCTTCACATGAGAGGGCTGTTTCCCGTGAGATTTCTCCCAGGAACTATGAGCGGTAATACTGGGGGAGGAGCTTGTACCTCAGGCTACAGGAGACCCGTCTAAGGAAGGAGCTTGGGAAGGCCCATCTCCTCCCACATTCTAGTTTTCTTACTGGCAATTCAGCAAGAGGCTTATTTTTGACTGTCTTGTTATTTTTTTCTTGAAAGCTATAGGCACCTTATTATGCCTTTGCATATGTGCCAGAATTTTTTAAACTTCAAATGAATGTGGCAGATGTTCATAAAAGTTTAGAAAAAGCTACCATAGGAAGACTTTTTAACCATTTTTATGGCACTCAAATTTGTTTCACAAAAAGAAATATAAGTTATAACCTCCTGTTCTCATTTGAAAAAAGGTTATTTTGGGGAAAGACCTAATTCTAGTCTTTAGGCTCTTACAGGATGCCCTTTGCTGTTAAACGGTAACCTTGTCATCTTAAAGAGTCTGCCTTTTTCCTAAAGTGGCACGTATATAGCTCATCATCATTCTTATCCCTCCTTCTGCCTTTTTATATCGTTCTCTCATTTAGCAAACATTAATTGGAGTCTAGTGGTAAGTTAGCAGGATAGCCAAGGATATTGGCATAGACCTAGTTTCTTCTTGGAGAGAATGATCATGTTAGCTGGCAGCTAGGAAATACCAAAATGTGGCCTGATTACACAGTGACTGTTTCCTTTTATTCTCTCGACCTCAGTTTAGTTTAGGAATGTTTCTGTAGCCCCATGGTTGTCAACCTTTTTAATGCCGCGACCCTTTCATATAGTTCCTCATTTTGTGGTGACCCCACACCATAAAATTATTTTTGTTGCTACTTCATAACTGTAATTTTGCTACTGTTAGGAATCGTAATGTAAATATCTGTGTTTTCCGATAGTGTTGGCGACCCTGCTAGTGACCCACAGGTTGAGAACCGCTTGCTGTAGAGCCTAAAATCGTCAGAAAACACAGATATTTGACTAGCCCAGTACCTGGCACCTAAAGAATTCAACAAAGGCCAACAATCATTGCAGTTTTTATTTTGTCAATGGCCTGAAATCCACTTACATTATTAAGTTGATGGCTTTTAAGTTGTGTTTAAAGGACTTTTAGGTTCAAGGGATCATTGTCATAATTCTCATTTCCTAGGGAAAGAGTTAGAACAAAGTTGTTTTGTGCTTGCCCTATTTCCTCCATGTTTGTTGGGCTGGAGGCATTGTACCAGGGATGGGTGTCGCACTTTTGTAGAACTTGATAAATTTACTAGCAGTCCCCTGCTTGACCACCCCCTGCTGTAAAGAAGGCATGGTCCTTTCTCTCTCTGTATCTTGGTTTCTTCATCTTTAATAGTCAGTACCCATCTTTTAGGATTATGACAAGGATTGTGTAAATGAGCCCTGTATATGTCCAGCATAGCCGAGTGTCTGGCCTGCAGTCGGTGTGCAGTAAGCATCCCTTCCACAGTCATGTTTTGAGAGCCTTCTGTGTGCCAGCCATGGCCTCATACTAGGAGTCTATAAACAATAGTGAATGAGACATAATCCCACCTTCTGAGAGGTGTGTCTAGAGCAGGTGTAAACAAGTAGAAAGAATTGTTGTGAATTTGGGATGCCATAGGCTCCTACCAGACAGACACTGAACCTGGCCTTGAGGACTGTGCCTCTCAGAGGAAGGGAATGTCTAAACTGAAATCTAAGATAAATAAGAATTCAGCCATGGGAACAGGTAGCGGCATCTACAAAGACTTAAAGTGTTGCCCATGTAGTTTTCCAGGAAGTATGAGTGGTTCAGTATCTGATAGGAACATAAGTATGAAGG